GTTCACCGTATCAGCCCTGCAAGGCAAACGCATTAGTAAAACAAGAAGATATGGGGAAAAGTGCAAAGCATAATATAAATATTATCCGAGCTGTAACGTACACTAGTAAAACAAGGAGATATGGTGAACAGTACAAAACATAATATCAATATTCTCTGAGCTGGAACGTGACTTACCACAGAGACAACTGGTCTCCAACAACCAGGAGGCCCCTTCTAGCACGCGTTAGCATAACATTCAGCCGGCGCGCATCTTTTAAGAAGCCGATTTCCCCTCTTGGGTTGGACCGAACTGCACTAAAGATGATAAGGTCCTTTTCTTTGCCCTGGAACCCATCAACCGAGTCAACGTCAATCTGGTAGCACAGCGCCTTATCCTGAAAGCGCCAAGCAAATGGAGACGAACCATACTGTTGCAACGAGTAGCAAGAAATGCCAACGTAACCTTTCCTGCTTGCCCACCCTGGGCTGTGTGCTACAAATGTGCGGACCCCAGTAGACTACAGGCCAACAACCCCACAGTATAAGCTGCGGCAAAGTCATATGTGGCAACCCCCATGACAGCGCAGGGGCCAGCCACGGCGCAACTAAGAAAGTAACGGCCAGAGGTTGCCGCCCTGCCGTGTTACTCACGAAAGAGTCGTTCAAGGCGAAGCGAATTCGTGCCTTCTGTGCATCGTACGGAGTTAAGATGCCGATTTCGCTCGGACGGATTGTCCCGCACTGCAGCACCGATCGCAGTATCGCCAAGATTGGGTCGATCTCCCTGAAATGCAATGTCAAACAACATTCGAGCCTGGAGATAACTGCTTCCCTTGGAGGCAGTTCCTACAGCTCCGTCTAGCCACAGCCCTATCGCCGGCCAGTCCCCCGCACGCACAACGGAAGCACTTGCTGCTCTTTCAGTACTGCTAACGAACCCAAACGGTCCATAAGAAGCAACATCAACAAGCGGTGCAAGATATGGCTAAGTAGAAGCTTACACAAGACTGTACTTCGACGTCCCCAAGGACTGCTCCATGTTCGCAAGCCCAGCAGAGATGTCAATCAGACAGACGCGACTGTGCGGCGATGGCCATAGGAAACCTGCGACTGGAGGCCGGTTGCAGTCATCCACGTCTGCATCGCATTTACACCACCATACAAGGCACCATGCGGCATACAAGAACGGGAAGCGTAAAGCACCTTCACCTATCACCATTAAGACGCTCCTGCGGAAACTATCAACCACGTCATGCCCACGTAA